TGACACATAAACTTCTTCTTGTAATGGACCGTTCAGAAACGCAGACTTCACATCCAGATGCATTAAAGGCCAATTTCTATTTGCAGCTAAAGCAATCATCAGTCTGATTGTTTCATGCCTAGCTACAGGCGCAAACACCTCAAAGTAATCTAGCCCAGGTTTTCGAAGAAAACCTCTAGCTACTAGTCTAGCTTTGTGCTTGCCAATTGAACCATCTGGCTTAAGTTTCAACTTAAAAACTCATCTGACGCTGATGGCTTTTTTATTATCTAGAAGTTTAGTCAATTTCAAAGTTTTGTTCCTTTATATTGCCTCAAGTTCTTATTTCATGGCATTAAGCCATTCTTTGTTCTTGAGAGCTTCTTCAATGCCCACTAGTTCAGAATCTACTAACATGGCACACTTAACGACTTCTCCTTCAGAGTCAACTTCATTATCCTGCAACATGTCAAAATCTGCAAACCTTCTTGGTTTTTGTCTAATTCTTTGTGGTCTTTGAGCTTGTTCTGAAGCTACACCAGAACTACTACTTTCAGAGTTACCAGCTTCCGAGTTTTCCCTTCCAGAACTATGATCACCACCAGATTCTGGATCATCATCAGCATCTGGATCAGAATCAGATCTATTGCCAAAATCTTCTTCTAACTCGTCTTCAGAATCTTCAGGATCTTCAGAATCAGATTCATCTTCTGAACTTTCTAAAACATCTTCAGAGGATAACTCTGGTGTTGGCACTGCACCAGAATCTATTTGAGATTTGTTCCAATCCCATGCTTCAAACTCTTTCACCACAACGTCTCTGCTGACTTCAACTTTATTAGTTTCTGGTCAATAAAGCTTATACGCACATGTACTATGGTACCCCACCAACAACATTACTTTGCTTTTATCATCCAGTTTTTGTCTTCTAGCTTCTGGAACGTGTTTGTAACAGACAGAGCCAAACACCTTCAGATGATTGACACTCTACTTATCTCAAGTCCATTTCTCTAAAGGAACAACTTCCTTCAGTTTCTTTGTTGGACACATGTTCAGAATATATGCTGATGTGGCAACAACTTCTCCCTATAACACGTGAGATAACTTTTTCTCTTTTAGCATACTTCTGGTCATATCAAGCAAAGTTTTGTTTCTTCTTTCAGCAAGACCGTTGTGTTGAGGAGTATATGGAGCAGTAACCCCATGTTCTATTCCACTCTCCTCACAGAACTTCTGAAACACTGTAAAGTTATACTCACCTCCACCATCCGTTCTCAGAATTTTTAACTTCTGACCACTCTGCTTCTCAGCCTTCACTTTGAATTTCTGAAACTCAGTAAACACTTCATGCTTGAACTTGATGAGTGTTACCTATGTCATTCTTATGAACTCATCTGCAAAAGACACAAAATAATTGTTTCCTCCAAGTGAAGGTACTGGAAATGGTCCACACACATCATAATGTACTACTCCCAGAGCATGCTTTGCTCTGGGGGATACTTCTCATGTAAATGGCAATCTAGGTTGCTTTCCTTTCATGCATTTCTCACATGACTTCTCAAGCTTCACAATCTTCTAAATACCATGTACAAGCTTCTTAGAACATATATGTTCTAAGCTTCTATAGTTCAAATTCCCCAACCTCTTATGCCACAACTTACTGTTACCTTCAGGGCCTTCTACACTAAGACACGTTGCTTCAGCTGTTTCTACATTTACCTTGAATGTTTTATTGCCTCCTTGTTCAGACTTCATAATCAACCTCTGATTGGAGTCATACAATGTAATAAGATTGTTTTTCATAACAATTGAGAAACCTTTCTCAATCAGGTGACCTACACTCATCAGATTGCTTCTAATACCAGGAACATACCAAACGTCTTTGATCAAAATGTCTTTCCCATTCTTCACTCCAACTCTGACATCTCCCATACCTTCTGCATTAAGATACTTATCGTCAGCACATCTGATCTTTGTTCTCCTTCTTGAGTCAAAGTCTGCCAGCCATTGTTTGTTTCCAGTTAAATGATTTGAACAGCCAATATCCATATACCACCAATCTTCTAAGAATTTTCCATCAAAATCAGAAGCCATTAGTAGTACAGGTTCATCATCAGAGTTTCTCTTAGACATATATGCTTCTTCTTATTTTCTTTCCTTGTTTGACCTACAATCTCTAGAAAAATGGCCAAATTGTTTACAAGAGTAACATTGAACCTTCCTTTTGTCATACCTCTCCCTTCCTTTATGATATTTCTTATCATCAGAAGTTGAGGCTTCTGACTTCTGGAATCTATCACCACGTTTATTCTGCTCCTGGTCTTTCTTGACAAAAGAAGCCTTCAGAGCTTGCTCAGCTTCCCTCTCAGAAGTTCTCTCAGACAGACGTAACTCATGTGCTTCTAAGCTGCTTTGCAATTCTTCTATTCTCATGGTTTCCAAATCTTTAGAATGTTCAATAGAAACAACAATGTAATCAAACTGAGGAGTAAGCGACCTCAGAATCTTCTCTATGATTACTTGTTCAGACAGAGTTTCTCCATACGCCTTCATCTCGTTAGTGATCAGAATCACTCTGGAGATATATTCAGAAACTTTCTCACTGCTCTTCATGTTCAGGTTCTCATATTGCTTTCGTAGGGATTGAAGCTTCACCTTCTTTACTGATGCGTCACCACCGTAACATCTCACCAGTAAATCCCACGCCCCTTTTGACGTTGTTGAATCCGCAATCTTCTCGAACACACTTTCATCCATACACTGATGGATATAGAACAGAGCTTTCTGGCCCCTCTTACTCATCATCCTCTCAGCAGTTCTCTATTCTTCAGTTGCATCTGCTGCAGCTGGTACATAACCATTTGTGACCAGATCCAGAACATCTTGCGCACCAAACAACACACGCATTTGTATCATCCATCTATTTTAGTTTTTACCATTAAAAACTGGAAGTTTGGTGTTCAAACTACTGTCTCCACTCATTTTAAACCTTGCACGGATTTTTTAGATCTTCAAACACACTGTTTCCTAACCCACGGAATCAGATTCTGTTCAGATTTTGTTCAAGATTTCAACAAAAAAACAATGAACCAAAATCAAACACACAGCTCACAAACACTCGTGTTTCCCAGAAAAACATAACCAAGTGCTCTTGATACCAATTTGTTGGTGCAAGGTAATGAAGGGGAGAAGAAGAATGAGCAATGAATGATAAAAAAGAGGACTACTATTGCATATCAAATAGAGGAATGAATTGAATTAGAATATTGATAGCCTAGGTAGCATATTTATACTAAAATTGAAAATGCCAAAAGGCCCTATTAAAGAATAAGCATTGAGAATTGTAGACATTAACTAAATTATATTTCCAATATTATTATTATTATTATTATTATTATTATTATTATTATTATTATTATTATTATTATTATTATTATTATTATTATTATTATTATTATTATTATTATTATTATTATTATTATTATTATTATTATTATTATTATTATTATTATTATTATTATTATTATTATTATTATTATTATTATTATTATTATTATTATTATTATTATTATTATTATTTTCATTCTTACATTATTATCATTTTTTGTATTATTTTATAATGTACACAATGTTTCAAAATTAATATGCATGTCACTAACCACTACAATTGAATTTCAAATTCGGCAATAATATTAATATTTAATCAATTAACAACGACTTTCAAAATATTTTTTTAATGTTAGTACATGCTAAACTAATTTCTGATTTTGCATTTTGAGTTCTTTAATTTTGCATTGTATCAATTCAATTATTTTGTTTTTCATGGCTGGTTATTTTATTTGAGCTATTGTATATTAGTATTGACATTTGATATTTTCTAACATTTTATCAACATAAGTTAAATTATTTCTTGCTTATTTATTTTTGTACATTATTATTTTTTTGAAAGAAAAAGATTATTGCTAAATTAAATCATCTAAATAATTATTTGTCAAATTATATTTATTTTTTCTCTTTCAAAGAAAATTTAAGTGAGTAGGACTCCATATACCTTAAGGTTCAACAAACACTTATAGAAATACTTACAAATCACTCACTAAAAGATCCTAACATTAGGTGTTGGAGTTGAACCTCTGGTGTGTGAGTTTGTTTTTGATTTTCTATTTTGTTGCTTATTATCTAGAAAATATTTTTTAAACTTGTCAAAAGAAAAAAATTAGGCTATATATTATCCAACACCATCAAGCATTCAACATTGGGTTACAAAGAAATTTTCACAAGTGAACAATGCAGTTTTCATACATTTTCTTCCATTGATTGCATTAATTTTTGACAATCACATTTTAGTTTCTCTATCTTCATTTCATAAGAAAGAAGCTGAACCTTGATTCTGAGACATAAATCAAAACTTAAAATCAAGATAAGATATACAATGATTATCCTTTAGCTATTTCCTTTTGCTTGTAGCACAAGGCAGTCCTGAATCACACGTCCAGGCTGCTTGTACCAATAACACACATTCTTTTCAGCCAGACATTCTCCAATATGATTCTTTCCACATTTATAACACTTACTCGCCCGTGGTGAATTTGAGGTTCGGACTCATTTGCCTTTTTGAGAAACTCTGATCTTCAGGTCTTGAGAATGCTTAGTTGGTATTCTTTATCAATCTTCTTCAAACAATTTTCAACTATGAAACTCTTATGCACTAATGAGGTATAGTTTGTGAACTCAAATTGGGTTAATCTTTTTCTGATATCAGACCTTAATCCCCTTTCAAAAATATTAATCTTCCACTCCTCATTCGAGGTGTAAAAAGAATGGGATGCGAACCTAGCCAACTCTTTGAATTCAGCCACATACTCCGCCACATATATATCTCCTTGCTGAATATGAATAAATTCTTGTTCCTTCTACCCCCGTAGAAACATCGGAAAATACTTATAAAGGAACACTTCTTAGGAACTTTCCCATTCTATTGGGTTTCCCTTAGCTATCATGCTGCCTTTTCCCCTCTCCCATCAATAATCTGCTGCTCCCTTAAGCATAAACGCAAGAAAATTTACCTTTTGTTCATCCGTGCACTGCACAATTTTAAAAATCTTATTTAATTCTCTTAGCCAAGATTGGGCTTCCCACGAAATGTGCCCTCCAGCAAAAGACAGAGGCTTGAGTTTGAAAATGTCAAAGAAGAACCAATTTGGGGCTTCAGGCTTCGGTGGAGGGGGAGGTCGAATCGAGCAATTTATCAAATTAGCAATATCAGCTTTTTGTTCTTGCATTACTTGCATCATCTGCTTCAACCAGTCTTCGTTATATTCCAGAGGTACTTGAGCATTTCTCTTAGGCCCAACTTGACCATGACGTCCAAAACTTTCCGCTATAATTCTGCACAAAATGCATAAATATCTATGTTGATCAAAATTAATTTTTAGTGTACTTATAATTAGAATGCACAATAACGAAACGACTCACTACAATCTATGCGAACTAACCACATATGAAGCACGGGCACCCCGATCACAACCCCAACATTGACCCAACGACACTGATAATAATTTGGAAAAATGAATAAATTAAATGTAATAACAAATGTAGGTACATGTGTCTGACACCGACACAACACACCTTTTTATAGAGGTGTCGGTACTACATAGCTAACCATAGAGGTATTGTCGGTTCAACCAGTTCCTGGTATGAAAAATTCAACTTCCTATGTTACTTATATAGAAAATAACATAAAACATTAACATTCATGAACACCAAAGACGGTGTCATACAAATAGTTAAAGGTGAACAATTGAGGTAAGATGTCGCAGGTTCAAACTCGTCCCTGATTCGTAATCAGGTGTCCCTCCATCTACTAACTGATTGAACCCAACAAAATCAACAAAAACATATTTCAAGTTAAACAGTCTCCTACTGTTCCTTATACTAAAAACTAACAACAAGTTGAACCCAAAACTTCAACATTTAACATCATACAAAACTTAAACAAGATCAAGGCTTCAAAGAGGGTAAGAAAGAAAGGGACTCAAAGAACTCAAAAAAACACAAAGAACTAAAAAAAAAGCAAGAACGCAACAACACCGAAAATGGTGCGTCTACCATATGTTCAAAGAAGTTAATAAATTTGAGTTATATGCTTTGTGAAAAAAATTGTGACAACTTAAAAACACTCTACGGTTGAGTTAAATGAACACTTACAAAAAAAAGTAGAAACCAACTGCCCTGGCAGCAACACGAGCAATATGAACGGAGGAGGCAATACGTCAGAAGCCACAAGACGATTAACGATACACAACAACACGAGCGGAAATATGACGAAGTTTGTTTCGAAATTAGTTTTCGCACAACAACGCCTTTCCCTTTTTAGTAACCGTTAAATTTCAATTGAAATTTAACTTTTATTTTTAATTATTAATAAATTAATATTTATAAATAATTGTGATATATTGGTTGTATAAAGAAATTTACTGTGACAGTGGATAACAATTAATTTCAATAAATTTTATAATGTTTGGAGGAAAAAATACGGCCTTTATTTTGTTAAATTTTTTATGCAATTTAAATTAAAAAATATAATTTTTTATTATTAATATTGTAACAATTTAAAATTTTACCCATAAATAATTAAGAGAATATTTATCGATTATTGTCGAAGATAAAACATAGAAATGTTTGAAAATTATTATGAGTTAAGAAACAATTATGAGGTGTTGTAAGGTTTGTCTTGATATCAGACAAAACTTGTTGCCTAATTTTATTGTAGGGTACATTTTACACATATTATATAGAAAAGTGTTGTCAAAAGAAATAACTATTCATTGAGTATAAAAACTGATTTTTCTTATAAAAAGATATCAGAGACATTTAAAAAACATTGAATGCAAAAGGAAATTTAAGTTCTAGAAATATACAAAAAATCTTTGGATAAAAGGGAAACTAATTCGGAGATTCCGAGTAGACATCTAGAAAAGGATTGGATGGAGGGGAAAACAAACTCTGGTACATCCAGAAAAGCATTGGATGCAAGAGATGTTATCCTAACTCGAAAATATATTGAAGTCATCAAGGAAAACATTGCATGAAAAGGAAACAAACTCAAAGGGATCTGGAAAAGTATTGGATAGAGTTGTTATCCAAACTCAGAAATATATTAAAGACATCCAGAAAAGATTTGGATACGAAATAAATGATTTTGAAGATACATATGAAACATCCAGAAAACATTGAATATATAAGAATAGGTTCTAGAAAACATCAGAATGATCAAGATATATCCCAACAGCATCGGATAGACAAAATAAGGTTGTGGAAAAACATCAGTACAACAAAGACACATCCAAAAAAAATACCGGGTGAGTTTTAAAAAACATTAAAATAAAAGACACATCCGGATATACATCGAATAGACACAAAAGGATTCTGGAAAAACATCAGAATGACAAACACCTCCAAAAAAACATTGGATAGATAAAACAAGATTCTGGAAGAACATCAGGACAACAAAGAGACATCGGGAAATACATCAGATGAACAAAGACAATTTGAACCTGAACAGACAAATATATGTTTTGGTAGGTGTCAATGAAGTTGGACTTTGACCTCAGAGTAAGATGTTGATAATAATAATAAGACCTTGGAAAATGTAAACGAGCATAGAAAAACTCTTCGAGCTATGCATAATATTGAATTTTTCTTCTATACATATGAATGATCAATGCAAGTCCAACACATACCCCCTCTCTGTTTTATGCATAATAATAATCACCATCTCCATACATTTTATTACTTTTAATTTATTTATTCTCTTTATTTATTTATTCCTTTTTTGTAATTAGATAAAAATTAGCTTTATTTAGTTGGTATGTTGGGCTTTAAGCCCATATAGTGGCCTTTAGACACCCCTATCTAATACCTGCACCTCTTTTATTTCTCTTTATATTTTGGTTTTGTGATATTGTAAAAAAATAAAGTAGTGTTTCTTATTTTATATTATTGCATTGCGATTTCAAAGTTAATTCAAATTTAGCTCTTGAACATGTATGGATGCATAAACTTCATTGACCGATTTATTTTTGTGATTTTCAATTCATTTCACCTGGTCCTGTAGCATATTTATTGTCGTATTTCAGACATTCAGATTATATCCTTGTTATCCTGGTTCTTTCTGGTTGTGTGGATTTTTATCTGATGCAGGGATTCATTATTCGATACTTGGAGTTCCTACCTGATATCTCGAGTCTTATCTGCTACCTTGATCTTTATTCGATACAATGAGTTTTATCTGTCACCTTTGCGCTTTATCTGATTCCTCTGATTATCCATGCTTTCTTCATTCGTGATTTACTTTCACATGTTGTGCTCCTCGCTTATGATTCAACATGATTTATCTGATTCTTGGAGTATTATCTAACATTTGGGTTTCTTTGATGTTGTCGGCTTGTGATTTATTTTCACCTGAGGTTTGGTATACTCTTGAATTATTTATCTGCTTGTGACTTTAAATCCAAAGGATGGGAATTCTCTATTGACTTTCTATGTCAAACATTGACTTCTTGTGTGGTTAGGTGATCCTCTTTACCTTATCTTTTACCCTCCTGTACATAAAACTATCTTCATCTCCTCCCATTCTTTAATTTTCAAAACCTTCTTTGTTTATAAATTCAAACCGCTTTCATAATAAACCCCGACTTTGTCGAGTGCCTTTTCTTTTAAAACTTCTTTTCTTTAAACAAACATCAATTCATTTAATCATACTTTGACATCTTTCAAAATTAACAAAAACACTTCAACTCATTCAAACCTTTTTGTGCCCTCTCGCACCTTTTATTCTTTTAAAACTTTTTTCCAAGATTAGACATGATTCATTTATAGTCGAGATATCATCCTCCTATCCCCATGGTTATAAAGGAGTCAAATTTTCCACTTGAGTACTAGAGGTGTTCTCAAGCCCTCACTCTTGCTGACACAGAGTCCATCTTTCTCATACCTTGTGGGCGTTAGTTAAGATTTCTCCTAAAAATAAGGAATTGTCTCTTCATTTAAAATCAACCAACATACAAGTCATTTCTAGTCGAACTATGGTGCTCTGGCTTTCCCATTGCACGAGGGAGTACGTAGGCACTAAGTCTTATGACCAAAAGCGAGGAAAAATAATAAAAAATATTTTCTTTTGTTTGCAAATATTCATTCAGTAGATGCACCTTTTGAAAGAAAGCAAACAAAGTGGATCCTGCGGAGTACCGTAGATGCTTAGAGTGCCAATACCTTCCCTTAGCATAACCGACTCCCGTACCTCAATCTCTAATATTTTATTTCGTTGTGGGTTTTGTTCACTTTTTTCCCATTTCCCTTTGGAAACAATAAAGTGCGGTGGCGAATTCATTGCGTGAGTTAAGTCAATTGATGGCTTAACCTCAAATCTTTACCACTACATTTTTTCTGCATTTTTACACAGTGCGACACTGACCAATTGGCTTTAAGAGGCGTGTTGTCATTATTTGACCCAATCTTCACTCACCCTATCCTGGTAAAGGATTGGAATTAAAGTTTGGACCAACATCCTTAAAAGATAAAATCTCTCTTCTAATCAAGTCTTGTACTCTAGCTTTCAGTGCAAAACAACCTTCTAAATCATGACATGTAGCTCCATGATGGAACTCACAATGGAGATTAGACTTAAATCCAAGTGGAAGAAGATTTAAAGGAGGAGGTAGAGACCTATTTGTAACCAAACCTCTCTAGACCAAGTAAGGATATATCTGAGTACATGCCATAGAAATACGGTCAAATTGAGTCATGCTCCTTGCATTACGATTCTGATTCTGACCAGCATTCTATTGTTGAGGAGCCTGAGCTGGTAGGGCATTAACCATAGGAGAAACTAAATTTACACATAGTTGATCATAATATTGTTTCCTTCTATGAGGTCTGACTCTTTCGTTGGAAATTGCATTTGTTTCACCCTCATTCTTCTTCTGAAAGTTTCTATAGGATTTCTTTGCGCCAGTATATGATTAACCAATATTAGCAACCTTGCCATTCTTTATTATTTCCTCTAGTCTTTGGCCAATATTCATTAAGTCAACAAAACTTGACGACGCACTGCCTATCATCCTCTCCCAAAAGAAAGGTTGTAGAGTGTCCATGAACATTCTTGTCAACTCTTTCTCTGCCAATGGTGGCTCCATCTGGGCAGCCAACTTTCTCCAGCGTTAGGCATACTCTTTAAAAGACTTTCTTTCTTTCTGAGACATATTTTGCAATTTACGAATATCTGGTGCCATGTCTATATTGTACTTGTATTTCTTTAAGAAAGCTTCAACCAAATCCTGCCGACTTTGGATACAGTTCTTTTCTAATCCCATATACCACTTCATTGAAGCTCTAATCAAGCTATCTTGGAAATAGTGAATGAGAAATTTTTAGTTCTTGGTATAGTCATCCATCTTACAGTAATACATCACCAAGTGTCTTTAAGGACAAGTGTGGCCCTTATACGTTTTGAACTCATAAGTTTTGAATTTGGTAGGCATAACCAAGTCTGAAACTAAGCACATGTTTATGGCACCACCACCAAAGCCATCATTACCTTTTATAGCCCTCAGTCTCTTCTCCAAAGTTTGGTATTTTTCTTTGACCTCTGCTATATCTTCAACTTCTCTTTGACTTTCATTTTTAGGGTCAACAACATGGTACACAAAGTGAGGATATTCATAAGTATATTAGACAACAATATGCACGATAGGTTGAGATTTAGTGATTACTGGAGCTTGGAATACTGGTTGTGCAAATTGGCCAAACATTGGAGTATTTGCAAAGGGTGGAGAACAATTTTATGGAAACCCAAATTTTGGCCAAGAAGTAATTGGATTATGGGAAATCTGGGGATCCACAATAACACTAGTGAACTCAGAGATGATAGTTCTTTGAGGTTGAGCTTCTTTAGCAGTCAAGGCTTGTAGCATCTCCATGATCTTTCTCACACTTCCTTTTAACTCATCAATTTCTTCTCTAACTCTTTCATTACTATGATATTAATCTTCCATTCTAATTTTAATGTTGGCCCTGGTTCCATACTTGTGTTGAGGAATCAGTTTGATGGTAGACAGACAACTTTGAAGATAAGAACATATGAAATGAATTTATGACAACTTAAATGCATGCATGATGTTTTATGCAAATAAATGCAATATTATCTGTTGTAACCCAAAATTTTACCTCCCATTTTCAAGGAAAATTAATTCAAGATACCTCCTCATTCTCATGAAGGTCTCAAATGCTCAAGACTATTCAAGGATTGACCAGACAAACTCTCCTCCTAAGAAATTGACATACAACTAGGGTTTTGCTTCTCTCAAAGGAAATTGAGCTTCTAATGAATCAAGTGGACTTTATGGTTTCTAATATGTCTCAAAGTATCCTCATACCAAATTTCAAGCCTTACATCACATATTTTCTCATTCAATTAGCCAGATGATTGAAAGTCAACAGTATTGCACTGTAGTACGGTGGGAGAACTGACTTGTTTAGCGTTTTATCGAAAATGTTGCAGATAGCAAGAGTCGCCATCGACTTTTATTTTATCTAATGAGGAAAGGTGAAAAGAACAGGAAAAACCTTTGATAGATTTTGAGTTCGGGGGGTAAGTTATGAAAAGGGAAGATGTTAGCACCCTTTTCATCCTTAGTTATCTACAGGCTCTTAATTGCTTAGCTCACTTTAAACTTGCTTTGTGTGTGTGTGATTTGAAAATATTTTGAATGCCAATTGTGAGGAAGGCTTTATAATAATTCTTGTATTAGTCCTCAAGAATGTATACAAATTATTTTTTGAAAATATTTGTTTTGAAACGTGAGGTGTAAAAATGAATTTGTTTCTTTGAAACTCTTATGAGCAAGCAATTTGTGAGTCTTACCCACTAAAGGTCGTTCTTATTATTTTGCTTCTCTGTTAGAGATAGTATTATCCATACCATTAGTTGGTAGGTAGCCCTATCTATTGGATGTGAAGGGACAAACGAAGGGTCGTCGAATGATCATAGAAACAACTTGTAAGGATACGTTAGCAATTTGAAGG